TATCTATCTATCTACTCTATATCTATCTATCTACTATCCTATCTATCTATTTTAATCTATCTATCTATCTATCTATCTATCTATCTATCTATCTATCTATCTATCTATCTATCTATCTATCTATCTATCTATCTATCTATGCAAAACTGACATTAATCAGAACCTCCTGTAATTGTTCTCCTCCACACCACTAGGTGGCGACTGTCAATTCTCCTCAGTATAATCAGAGCGGCATGTTCGGCTGCTGTACTTAGCTACCGCTGGTACTTCAACAACATATCTTCTTGTTTATTTTATTTTTTAAGTATTTCAAGCGTATTTCATATGGTGAAGTAGCATCAATACCAATATATATATATATATATATATATTTATATATATATGTAAGCATTTTCAGGTATTTGCTGCATTCTAAGGTTAAAAGCTTGAGAAATGATGGACCGGGTTAGCTTTTAGCTTTGTTGATGTCTGTTGTACTGAATCGTTCAGGGAATGAATGAGCGCCTGAGAATAAGTAAGCGGTAATTCTGCTTGACATATTGTAAAACGCATTTATCCACGGCTTAATAAACGCCATATAACAATGGCTACCGGTGCTGATGTTTCGGGATATTTTGGAACTTGGCGGAGCTGAAAACGATGGTCCCATCAGTAAGAAAGATCTCATCAACTCGGACAAGGTGAGAGAAAGTTGCTATAAATGTTGCAAAAGGAAATGTATTTTATGTTTAGTTCGTTAAGGATGTTCTTTTTAAATTCTTACAGGGCTTACAGCATTAAATAATAAATTATATATATATTTTTTTTACAGATAGATCAATTGTTATCAGTTTTTGCAACAGTGCTGTACTAAATCATGTAAATGAAAAGTTTAGTGGAAGGAAAAAGTGACATCAAAGTGTGCATTAACAGTTTGGATAACCGCCTTGATAGGAGTGAAGCAACGGCCACTCAGAGACAGACATTCCCTTTGTTAAGACAACTTTAAACAGAGATAACATCAGAAAAACTAACCTGCGCTGCTGATTAAAAATATATTTTGTTTCAATGACCTCTTTTCATATGAAATTACATGTTTTTTTTTATTTTATTTTTGATAATAAATGTCATGGAGTCTGGAGGACAAGTGGAAAGAAACAATTCAAGTTGCTTTAGATTCATTGACCGTTTGCTATTGTCAGTCAATTAATCAGTTGGTCCACTTTATCGATTTGAAAGTTAATTTCTTTGCTGGAAATTATAGAACACTTAACAATTTGTATTACTTACAAACTTTATGGAAATGCAGATTTCATTTTTTCAGAACTTTGTCCTTATTCAGGGTTCGTCGCAGCAAGGCATTACAACTTGCTCACAGACTTGGCATTTTATGGTATCAGTTGTTTAATTACTTTGGTATTTTTGTGTTGAATTTATTAACAAATTAGATTAACCTGAAAATGGGAATCTTAGGAGTATTTTAAGAGGAAAATGGGCGATATCCTGATCCATCAATGCAAACAAAGTAAAAGTCACTATTAAGCAACTTTCACATATATAATTTTAGCCATTGTGTCAAAATAACTGTTGCTTTTTGTATATCTCTACATTGCTCTTATGTCTATTTAATGTGTCCCCCCCTTTACTCTCTGCAGAAAAAGTCCAAGAAAGCTACGGAGACGTTAACCTTCAAAAGACCAGAAGGAATGCACAGAGAAGTTTATGCTCTGCTTTATTCAGATAAGAAGTATGCATTTCTTCCTAAAAAAACATTTACACATTCTTCTGTTAATGTGGTCTATTAAAGCTGCTGTCCAGATGCTGGTGATGTATATTACATAGTTTTCCCTCAGACAGACAATCCTCCCAAAGAATCAGTTGTTTGTTTGGGAGGATTTAGCATAATTCACATTTGTAATTTATTTGCTCACCCGAAAGTCCATAAATTATATGTAGGATGGGGTCTGAACCACTTCAGAAGCTAAGAGGTTGCCTGTTTGTTAGTAATCATTGCTGAGCTGAAACACCTAAATATCTAGTGTTATATTTACACCCTGAGATAAAAAGATACGACAGCCCAAAATACTAAAACATTCTTTCCTTTGATAAGTGTGTATGTATATCTGGTTCAAGCTGTATATCACTGTTCCAAGCCTGGATTATGGCGGATTACTTGATGTCTTGGAAAACACCATTAAGACTTGTTTGTATGGTTTTATAGAAAAATAAATATTTTATGAGATACACTGGATACCATTATATTATCTTTTTTCCCTTTCTATCCGTAGAGATGCACCCCCTCTGCTGCCTAGTGACACCACTCAAGGTTATAGGACTGTAAAAGCCAAACTTGGATGTAAAAAGGTTCGTCCCTGGAAGTGGATGCCTTTCACCAATCCTGCTCGCAAAGACGGAGCTATATTCCACCACTGGAGACGGATGGCTGAGGAGGGAAAGGACTACCCTTTTGCTCGTTTTAACAAGGTATGCTTGACCCGTCGCTTCAGGACAAAAGGAGAATAAAAGAATATTTAGCATTGTGTCCCACCTGTTAAGTATGCCCACTCTCTTTTTGTTTTCCTGTTCGCATGTCCAGACAGTGCAAGTGCCAGTATATTCAGAGCAAGAATATCAAATGCATCTTCACGACGATGGCTGGACTAAAGGAGAGACGGACCACCTCTTTGACCTCTGCAAACGTTTCGACCTGCGCTTCGTTGTTATCCACGATCGCTATGACTACCAGCAATACAGAGTAAAGAGCCCAGACCTTGATTTCCAGAGTTAGAGTTTACTGTTTCCATTAAAATCCTGAGGTTGAGACGTATACTTGGAATGATTTTGCTCGATTTTTTATTTTATTTTTAGAAACGCTCCATAGAGGACCTGAAAGAACGATACTATAGCATTTGTGGTAAGCTGACCAAGGTCCGTGCAGCATCAGGGACTGAGCCAAAGATCTATATCTTTGATGCTGGCCATGAACGGCGCCGCAAGGAGCAACTAGAGAAGCTATTTAATCGCACACCTGAGCAGGTTTGTAACTTTTTACTTTAATCTCTCAAATCTGATTAAATCTGCTCAATTTTATCTCATTATTTCTACAATTATATCTCACCTTATTTCAACATAGTTACAATATTACTTCAGTTAAAACATTCATTTTAATAATTGAATATCTTTATATGTATTGTTTATTTCTTTTTTGTTTGATATAATGTCTTAATACTCAAAATCAAGTGTCTCAGAAAATTAGAACATTGCATAAAACCAATTTAAATAAGAACTTTAAATACAGAAATCTCAGCCTGTATTTCGGCTTCCCTCCCTCTCCTGAAATTAGAGCCTCCTCTGGCTCTTTTTTTTCCTCCCTGAGTTTGTTGTGTTTGTGTCGCTACAGATTACATCGCTGTTTTTGTCCCTTGGTTGTCTTTATATTAATGATCCGGTCCACATTTTGTTGGCAGAACTTAGATATAAACACCTAAACATTCCCACATGCATGTAACTGTTAAAGTAACACATAAGGATAAAATGTTTTAGCAAAGAGAGAGATGCTGCTTCACTGACTGGACTTGATTAAAACATGGTGGACCAAGGCCAGCAGAGGGCATTGCTCCACAAATCGTCAATGACTGTGGAAACGTCATGTTGGGCTTCAGGCTCCTTGAATCCTGTGCCTCCTTTTTCAATTCAATTCAATTCAGTTTATTTATATAGCGCCAAATTCAAAAAACACATGTCATCTCAAGGCACTTTACAGTTCAACCAGATCAAATTGATACAAAGTTTTCTATCTAAGGAAAACCAGTTGATTGCATTACTCATTGACTCAAATACAATCCCCCACACTAGCATGCTTGTAGCGACAGTGGAGAGGAAAAACTCCCTTTTAACAGGGAAAAAACCTCCAGCAGAACCAGGCTCAGTGTTGAGCGGCCATCTGCCGAGGCCCACTGGGGTTCAAGGAGACAGAAGCAGAGATACAAAAAACAGCTGTAAAAGGCGGCCCCCTCCAGGAAACACACAGCCAGGCAACGAGCTCCAAGGCAGCTCCCATGCCAGAGGACGAAGAAAGCACATCCACTCAGTCACGGTCAGAGAAACAGGACCACACTGGAAAACAGGCCGATCTCCAACATCTATAAACAAGGGTGTTGATAGAAGCAGCACAGCTGATGTTTCTTTCCAGGATGACGTCACAGCCAAACAGGAACAGACGAGGCAAAGCTACTCTGAGGAAAAGCAGAGAGAGCAGAAGGTTAGAGATTGAACTAACAGATTCTGCAGAATAGGAGAACAGAGAGAGAATGAAGCAGAATGATGAAATGGGGGTCCCTATGTCCTCCAAAAGTCTAAGCCTATAGCAGCATAACTATAGAGATAGCTCAGGATAACCTGAGCCACTCTAACTATAAGCTTTATCAAAAAGGAAAGTTTTAAGCCTAGCCTTAAAAGTAGACAGGGTGTCTGCCTCACGGACTAAAACTGGTAGTTGGTTCCACAGGAGAGGAGCCTGATAACTAAAAGATCTGCCTCCCATTCTACTTTTAGAAATTCTAGGAACCACTAGTAAACCTGCAGATTGAGAGCGAAGTGCTCTGTTAGGAACATAAGGAACAATCAGATCTCTGATATAAGATGGAGCTTGGCCATTTAAGGCTTTTTTATGTGAGAAGGAGGATTTTAAATTCTATTCTTGATTTAACAGGAAGCCAATGAAGAGAAGCCAGGAAGGCGAGATATGATCTCTCTTTTTAATTTTCATTAGAACTCGGCTGCAGCATTTTTGGGTCAGCTGAAGGCTTTTAACTACAGTTTGTGGACTTCCTGATAGTAAAGAATTACAATAGTCCAGCCTTGAAGTAACAAATGCATGGACTAGTTTCTCAGCATCACCCCCTGGACAGGATATTTCTAATTTTTGCAATGTTCCTCGATGAAAGAAGGAAATTCTAGAAACCTCTTTGATGTGGGATTTAAATGACAGGTCCTGATCAAAAACAACACCAAGATTTTTTACTTTATTATCTGAAATCAGTTTAATCCCATCCAAATGAAGTGACTGGCTAATCAGTTTCTTTTCAGAGACTCTGGTCCAAAGACTATAACTTCTGGTTTTGTCTGCATTCAGAAGCAAAAATTAAGATCATCGG